CCTGTCCGTGTTTGGCTGAAGACTCGTCTTATTTTCCCCCTATTGAGTGCCCTGCCAGCAACGAAAATGGTGGTGTATCATTCTGTGACCTAGAAGGAGAGATGTCCTCTTCTCTCCATTAGGTAAGTGACGCTGCACACTGCAGAAAGGAAAAATAAAATAAAAGAATAAAATACTGCTGTGAATCTATCCATGTTTCTGCTGAAGATTCATTTCCTTTCCCTCATACAGTGACTGACCAACCGGGGCGTGGCACACTAAGTCCTTGTGCTAACACACACACACACACACACAGATGAGAGAAAAGGAGAGAGAAAGAGAGAGAGAGAGAAAGAGCAGGCTCACCCAAGAAGAGAGAGAGAGAGAGAGAGAGAGAGAGGAAGAGCAGGCTCACGCAGGGAGAGAGAGAGAGCAGGCAGATGCTGAGAGGGAAGAATAGAGGCTGAGGCAAACAGACAAAGGGGGAGCGAGAGAGTTCCAGTTTTAATTTTGCTGCGCTTTTATTCATTTATTGTTTTTTTTTACTTATTCCTTTAATCTTATTTACTCTCTCCTATTGCTGAAGAGCGCTGCGTGCCGACGGGACTAGACAACCCTGGTACTCGATTGGCCCCTTTCACCCTACTGGTCGCCGAGGACCTCGGAGCGGGCGCGGCGAAGTGACAGGCGCCGTAGCCCATGGCTTCAGCGAACGGTAGGTAGCCCCTCCCCGGGTTCTCTCCCACCAGTGGCGCCGTTGCCGGGGAGGGGAGTAGCACCCCCAAGTCCGCGGCCTTCCCCAACCAATGGGGGTGCGCTGACTGATTAGTGCAACGCTAATTAGTCTGTTTTCTTGATTAGCTTTAATTTATGATATTTTTCTGAAATAGTTTTTTTTGAAATATTTCCCGATCCGCACGTTTTTACGCGAGGTGCACCGAGCAAAGTTCGACCTCTCGTCGAGGCGAACGTTTTGAGATGTTTCTTGATAAATTCTAACGGCTAGAAAAAGAGATATGGAATTTTTTGTATTCTTAATTAAAAATTCCAAAAATTAAGAATTCCCTTTTATTTTTATAACTAAGAAATTAAACGAAATTAGGAGATCACCGCCCGGACCAAAGTTGGTCGCCGTATTTTTCCCGACGTTTTGAGACGTTAGTCGGGGAAAACGGACTTCGTTTGGACGAGTGGTGACCGCCGACAGACGAGAAAAGAGCGGGAAATTAAGGGGAATTAGTAATTTTCTTTGTATTTTTGTAAAATAAAAGGGAAACGGAAGTTGAAGAAAGTGATCCGTTGGAACTCGACCCTTAACGAACTACAAACTAACGAAAAATTTTCTACCTCGAAAAGTTCGACGAGGAAGCGTGCGGTTGAGCGTGAAGTTCCTAAAACCCTAGTGAGCAAAACCCTAATTAGGGGAAACCCTAATTAGGGAAAGACTTGATCAGGGTTTTAGAGTCGGGTGACAG